GATCGAGTCCCACATCGGGCTCCCTGCTCCGCGGGAAGCCTGCTTCTCCCTCTCCCACTCCCCCTGCTTGTGTTCCTACTCTCGCTATGTCTCTCTCTGTCAAATAAATAAATAAATAATCTTTAAAAAAAAAAATAAATAAAAAAATAAAAGGAACACACACACAGAGGGCCAGCTCTGGACTTCATATTCCTGGCACCTCTGCAGTCCTGGCAAGGCCTGGTGCCCACAGGATTGCAGGAGTCTTTGCTGCTCTTCTGTCACTCAGTCCTGCCTTATGCCTGTTACATTGGGCTTTTAACACGTATGCGCTGGCCTCACGCACTGAGGCAGCCAGTCTGGGTAGTAATTAGTGATTCTGACAACCCAGGACACTAAGGCACACAGGACGTTCTCTAACACTGCGCAGCAAGATCATATCGGGATCAGGAATGGGGGCTTTGGCGCCACCACCCTGCATTCAGTTTCGACTCCATCACTTAGCCGCTATGTGACCTTAGGCAAAAGCATTCAAGATCTGTCAACCGCAGAGCAGAGAGAACAGCGCCATGAGGCTTCTGGCGGGATTCAGCGGGGCGGCTACCCAGCCCCGCGCCTGCAGTCCCTGGCACATCGGCCCGGGGCTCTGGCCACCACCGCTGCAGGCGCGGCTGTCACACCTGGTGAGGCCAACGCAGGTGCCAGCTCATAGCTCCCCAGGCCCAACCGAGAGCTCATCTCGCCCCTAAAGCCCAGCCGCGTCCTGCTCTGGGGAGGGGACCTTGGCAGAGAGAGAGGGGCTCTGTCTGGGAACGAAGTGGCAGACACAGTGTCTGCCCCAAGCGTTGAGGGGGTCAGGCCAGGTCCATGCCCTCTGGCAGCTTCCTTGAGGCTGAGGCTGTGGCCCACACTGCGCTCTCCTCAGTGCCAGGCCCACATGTTCCTGCCTCGCAAACCCAGCTCTCCTCCCTCCTCTCCCTCACCCCCGGCCATCCCACTGCTGGGGCCAGCATCCCTCCTTCCCCACCAGCCCCCACATCCTGCCAGTTCCACCTCCCGAGGAGCTCTCCAGTGCAGCCTTTTGCCTCCGCCCTCAAAGGTGCCCTTGTCCAGGTGCCATCAGTACACAGGAGTTCCTGCCGGTCTCCTCACTGGGCACCTTACTTCTGTTCTAGCCCTTCCAACCTGCCTGCCACGATGTAGCCAACGCAATCTCTCTCCAGTGCAAATCTGTTTCATCTCTCCTTAAAACCTTCTAACAGCTCCGCCGCACCAGGACTGAGAGAGACCCTCATGGACTGGCAATGCGGACCCTGCCAGTTTCTTCCCTCCCTAATCTCTCGTCTAGGTGGGAGTTTTGGGGCGTACCAGGCCTAGGCAGCACGGTGGGCATCGATGGGGCAAATGCAGGTGGCATAATGGTGGGATCAGGGATGCTGGACATGCTGCCGGAAGGACAAGAGTCCCCTCAGTGAGCAACTCTCTTGCATCCCTGGAGTATGTCTTGCAGGGTTTCAACATAGCCTGAAATTGCTGGGAACCCAACTATGGTGAAAATCAAAGAAAGCCTGTTCTGTTTTATGGGCCCTTGACTGGGAGTCAGTCACCATTTCAGGAACTAAAGGCACCACTAGCCACATGGTTCACAGCACCTGAGCTACAAACGCTAGATGTGGCTGTCGCGGTGACTCTACGCTCCTGCCAACACCCGACAACTTCATCAGATCTTCCGGGGCGGGTGTACCCAAGCCTTTACAATACTAAAATGTATCATTTCATTTTCTTCCCTTTGTGTCTCCTTTATGAAGTGCTGGCGTCTTACTAATTTTGAAGTGATACATATAGGTAGGCTGCACAGTCCACACATCTCCTTTGAGCACAGGAAACAAAGGACGCATTAGACAATGTCTATCATCAATAAGGGGCACCAGGTGGGACAGCCCTGAGAACTGCTGCTCCGACGAGATGGGACCTCTGCCAGTTCTCTGGGAGGTGCGGGCTCTCCCTCCCCTCCAGGCCTGGCCACAGGCTGTGATAGCCACCTGGAGCCTTCTCCCCACTTTCACCTAATTCTGACTTGATCCACAGGCCTGAGCTCCAGCAACCCTGCTCTGGGAGGTCTTCCCAGGCCCCCAGGACCAACCTAGCGTCTCTTCCCTGTGCTCCCAACAGCCCCTGGCTGCCCTCAGCATTGTGTTGGCAAACTGTTGCTCCTGGAGGCTATCCCTGTTGGCCTGAGCCGATTCCATGGAACAGGCCATTTAAGAAACCCAGACATCTGGGGCGCCTGGGTGGCTCATTCGTTAAGCGTCTGCCTTCGGCACAGGTCATGATCCCGGGGTCCTGGGATCGAGCCCCGCATCGGGCTCCCCGCTCGGCGGGAAGCCTGCTTCTCCCTCTCTCGCTCTCCCTGCTTGTGTTCCCTCTCTAGCTGTCTCTCTCTCTCTCTCTGTCAAATAAATAAAATAAAATCTTAAAAAAAGAAACCCAGACATCAATGATTGTCTAACTTCCTTCTGCTCCTGCCATGGAAGGAGGTGTGGTACTTACTGCTTTGGGGGCCACATATGACCCTGACAGCGTGCCCACGCCACTGGTCAGGTCAAAGAGGTCACTCAGGCCACTGCCCATGGATGCTCCTAGGTTGGCTGGGACTGCTGCTGCTGGGGGTGCCACAAAGTTGGGGCCCCCAATCTGAAAAGGAAGGGAAAGGGGTCAGAGGCAGGCATTAGAGGTGGGGACATCAGGGGCCCGGCATGACTGGAGCAACCCGGCACTTTAGAAAATGGGACGGGGCAGGAGGGGGGGCTGCGGGGCTATTGTCACACCAGCTTGAAGTTGCAGAGCTAAGACAGGATGACGGGGGTGGAAAAGAAAGACTGTGCCCTCCCATGACCTGCAAGCCTCCAGCCTTAGGGGTGACCTCTGGGAAAGGGCTGCGACACGGGTAAACTAACCCACAGCCCACTGATAAAAGGAGTACCCGAGACCACTGCTGAGAGGCTGTGCTAAGCGGACAGGAGCACACCCTCTAGGATGTCACAGAGGGCCCGTGGAAACTGAGAGCATGGGTGATCCTTGGGATGACAAGGCAACTTTGTCTTAGGGTACTGAGGATGGGACACTGGATAGAAGGCCATGGCTCAGCAGGGAGGGACTGCTCTGACATCATCCACCCCTTGGGATGCTGGGCCAGGACTCAGCAAGAGCAGAGACAAAGGCTTGGTGGCGCAAGGGTTGAACCATACCCCTTCAGGCTCATCCCCCATCTCCAAGCAGAAGCAGGCAGGGTGAAGAGAACAGGCAGCCACATGCAGAGAGAAAAGCCAGGAAATAAGACAGAGACAAGAGAGAGAAGGAAAGAAAAGATTAGTCACTGCTGCTCCACTGAGAGGAGTCTGGGGCAAGATAGTGCCAGGCTTAAGGGGGGGCCTGGACCATCTCCATGAAGGGCACTACTTCTGGGGCTTCACTCCACCACCCACGTCTTGTGCCATGGCCCTTCCTACCCTTTCCTATGTGATGTCTTGGGGACCTGAGCCAGAGATGGCCAAGTGACAGGGGCTCTGCTACCCCCTCCTGCTGGCTCTACCAGCTGCCTGAAGTCCCAGGGAGATAACCAGTCTAGTCTTAACCACCCCCTTTCTACAGGGGAGAAGGGACTGTCCCTGACCCCTCATGGGCCTCTCAGGCCTCCTGGGCTGTTGCCCCAAGCTGGTGCAGGGTGTGAGAATAAGTGGACACCGGTCTGGCTCCTCTAGCCCTACAGGCTCCAGATCTCTTGGGGCTCAGTGGCCCGGCAAGGGACTAAGTCCCGTGTCTGCCACATACTGTGCACTCTTAGAGGGAAGGTCGCCCGAACTCTTAAAACCTCAGTTTTCTCCCCTTTACGTAGGGAGTGACACAGTCACCTTCGCAGACAGGTGTACCCTGAGGCCCTTGGTTGGTGAATGGCACAGACAGGGTGCTCAGTGATTGCTCCTCTGAAGGTCATTATCAATGTCATCCGGAGAGGGCCCCAGGACATACCAGGCTGTCGAGGCCTCCACCAAGAAGGTCCACAGTTCCCATCTGCACTGAGGAGGTGGCCAGGGGTGGGCCGCTCACCGGGGGGCCGAGGTCCAGGTTGAGGAGGTCACCCAGCAGGTCGCCCTGGGTGGGGATGACATCTGGCTGCTCACCAGAGGGCACTCCGGCAGGGGCTGTCTCGGGGCTCTCTGTGCTCTCGCTCCTGTGACGACACAGGAGGGAGACAGTCAGTGGGGTGGGCGCTGGGCTGTTTCAGGGAGGTCAGAGTCCTCAGTCTCCAGGATAGACACCTGGGTCTCCACACTGTTCCAGAAGGGCTGTCTACAGGCCCTCTCCTCTTCCCCTTTCCCATGCCTGATCCATCTTTTTGCCTCTCCAAGAGATCCAGCATCATGGGGGTGAGTCAAGGGAGGGGCCCTCTGTATTTCCACCACTCAGAGCACTCTAAAGACTGGATGCCTGCCCTGGAGGACTGGGCACCTAGGCCAAACCAACCACCAGGGGGTGGCAGAGGAGGCTGAGAAGAACAGGGCTCTGGAATTAGAATCGGGTCTGAGCCTAGCTGGGCTGGCTGTGGGATGGTGCTCCAGGCCCTCAAGCTCTCTATCCTCTTGTCCTTGTATGTTAAATGGGGATACCTCCTAGAGCTATTGTAAGGATCAAATGAGGCCACCTCGGTAGGTAGTAAACATTCATTAAAAAGTCACTAGAACGGGGGCGCCTGGGTGGCTCAGTAGGTTAAGCGTCCGACTCTTGATTTCAGCTCAGGTCACATCTCAGGTAGTGGGATCGAGCCCCACATTAGGCTCCACGCTCACTATGAAGTCTGCTTGAGATTCTCTCTCCCTCTCCCTCTGCCCCTCCCCCCACTCACGCTCTCTCTCTAAAATAAATAAATTGATTAATTAAAAAAAAAAGTCACTAGAATGGTAATTTCCCTCAGACTCAGGCCTGGCCAGGGGTTACCACATCAGGCCTGAGTGCCTGGGCTAATGAACCGGAAAACTAGGTGGGAAGGCCCAGCCTGGACACTGGCCCACTTCACTCACGAGGCAGTGCGAGGTGGCAGGCTCTTGTGCACCACGCCCCGGCCCCCCTCCACAAAGGCACTGGGAGGCTTATGGTAGACAGACGCCAGGGTGCCAATGTAGCAGATGAGCTCGTCCAGCAGTGTGGGCTCAATGAGGTCCGTCTCTTCAGAGATGAGTGGCTTCTCAGCCAACACCACCTCCTTGGCAGCCACTGGGTCCGTGGAGAGCAGACGCCAGTAGATGTAGCCACGGTCCCGCAAGTCCGGGTTATCAGAGTCCTTAAGCAGTGGGAGGTGATGAGAAGCATATTAAACTCAGAGCAGAGCAACTAGCTGAGAAGGAAGGAGCTCCTCCCAAAACCCCATGACCCAGGCATGGTCACAGTGCTGGCCGAAGACACTGATTCTGAGAGTCCCATGAACCTGTCCCTAAACATGGCCTGGCCCCTCAATTTCCTCCCTTAGCCCAGAGTTAAACAGTACATTCCCACTCCTGTCCCCACTCCTCACTCCCCTCCCTAATCTGCCCTCCCTGTCCTACAAATCCTCTGGTTCTCCTGGACCTCCCTCCCCTCTTTTGTTTGCAGTCTGTCTCAACTTCACCCACCTGACCCACTCCATCCTGATTTATCTGTGACTGAGTTCCCTGAGCAGAAATCCTGGATCACTCTAGGGCCAATCCCCCAGTGAGGCCAGTCTTAGGGGCAGGACCTTGGCACAAAGGTCTGGCTGGCTCCTTGGACCAAAGTGCGCCCTGTGGAGTGAGACCTACATGGGGCGCAGCAGAGAGGCTGGGGCACTGACCTGAGTGGCCAAGCTGAGGACCTGCTGCACCAGCTCCTGGGTCTCTGTAGGCTTCTTCAGAAACAGTTTCACGATGGCTGTCAGTAGCTGCAGCTGGACCTGCGGGAAGACAGAGAGGTGACAAGGAAGAAGTAGCAAGGGCTTCATGTGGGGATGGGAGGAAACCAAATGAGGCCTTAAAAGACGGAGAAGGGCATTTTTCAAAGGCCCTGGAAGCTGAGAGCAGCTTTCCTAGGTTTGCAGTTGGCCACAGCACAGACTAAGGCCAGGGGGCTGTCGGTAGTGCTGAGTAGGCTGGACCTTGGCATTACCACTCAGGAAGGAGCTGGCCACAACCATTTGGCAACCCTACCCTAAGGTCCCAGAAACCTGTCCGGGCGCCTAGCCTCACAGTGCCTTAAGGAGTTCGCAACTTAAGAAGGCAACATGTGTAGCCAGTGTGCTTCTTAAAAGGACCATCTGTCAACAAGCGGAGATGGTGCCAGTGACGGATGGGCCAGGAGGGCCCACAGAGTCAGCCAGTCATTGAGGAGCAGGGCTTCTACCAGAAGGTGGGAACCACTCCTGCCCAGCCCTGTCTCTCACCCTGCTGCTGCTGCCTTCACCTGATCATGTGTCCTGCTGCCCTCAGCCTGGCCAACATCTTCTCACCCCTCGGAGCTCATGCTGTCCCCAGCACCCCCACACTTCTGCAGCCTCCTGTACTCCCTCATCAGCACTGCCCCACAGTATTAGAAATGCTTTCCAGCCACCAGCCTGTCCTGTGAAGACAGCCCTCTGAGGGCAGAGATCATGCCTGTCACAGCTGTATCCCTGGTTATTGCTCTATCGAGTGTCCAGTGCAGGTACTTGCTAACTCAAAAAACATCTCTGAAAGAACAATTCTCTGCACATAGTCCTTCCTTAGCCAAATCTCACTTTTGCCAGTCCTGGGACAAGAGGGCAGCCTGAGGCTCCTGAGCCAGGGCTGTGCCAGGGACAGGCCTGTGGCAGGAGGGAAGGAACTGGGCGTGGTCGGCAGGATGAAGGTACACAGAGTGGGCTAATAGCAGGAGGCAAGATGGAGGAGATGTGGTCTGTTTCTGGAATCAAGCAATCCAGAGTCCTTGTCATTTAGTTACACGTGGGCCAACAATAGAGGAGCAGTAGGCTGGCTACTGTCAGGGTAGGGGGCAGCCCAGGGACTAGCTTCTAGAACCTGGCTACAGCCCCTGGCCAGGGAGTCCAGGGGAAGCCATCTATCCTCATTTGGTGGGAAGAAGGGTGGCCTGCTTCAGGAGGTTCTTGTGAGCTCACAAAATCACAACTTATGACTGCTGACTTTGAAGTCAGAGTTACATCACACCTCATTTGAACGTGACTCTGGACAAGTCATACAACTTCTCTGAGTCCGCTTCCACATCTATAATGTCAGTATAAATACCTCACAGGTTTAATGGAAGAGTCCATGAGACAAGAACTGTAAACAACCTGTCGTGTATTCTGCTCAATACACAACACCTGTCACCATGGCCATCAATATCACCATAGCCAGCACACAGGGATTCTTTACTGAGTCCTCCTCAACCCAGGTCAGCTGGCTGCCTGGCATCATTCATTACTGTCGGGTTTGGGCCACCAGCCCGAGTCCTCCCACCCCTCACCAACACACTGACACCCCGCATGTTAGCCTGCATGTTCAAGGCAACCCTCCTGCAATGATGCCACTGCCCCTGCCATCCAGACAGGCGAGACGAATGCTGGACTGACATACCACCCTAGGCAAGAGTTTCTGAGCTCCCTGTCCATGGCTGGAGAGGCCTAGGAGCCCAGGACAAGGGGACTCAAAGAGACAATCTAAAGTTCGTTCCCTGGGGCGCCTGTGTGGCTCAGTTGGTTGAATGTACAACTCTTGATCTTGGTTCAGGTCTTGATCTCAGGGTCATAAGTTCAAGCCCCGTGTTTGGCTCCATGCCCAATAAATATAATAATAAATATATATATAAATAAAATATAGGGCGCCTGGGTGGCTCAGTTGGTTAAGCGACTGCCTTCGGCTCAGGTCATGATCCTGGAGTCCCTGGATCGAGTCCCGCGTCGGGCTCCCTGCTCGGCAGGGAGTCTGCTTTGCCCTCTGACCCTGTCCCCTCTCATGTGTTCTCTCTCATTCTCTCTCTCTCAAATAAATAAATAAAATCTTAAAAAAATAAATAAATAAATAAAATAAAATATAAATAAATATAATAAATAAAGTTCCCAAACTGCAAAGCACTAAACAAGTATTCTTATAAAAACTTTGAATGATGGGGTGCCTGGGTGGCTCAGCTGGTTAAGCATCTACCATTAGCTCGGGTCGTGATCCCATCGGGGAGCCTGCTTCTCCCTCTCCCTCTGCTGCTACCCACGCTTGCGCTCTCTCACGCTGTCTCTCTCAAATAAACAGCAACAACAACAACAACAAACTTCGAATGGTGTTGTGAACCCAGCAGGCACAGGGAACTGGCCAGTGAATTAAAACCACCATCACCCCCTTCCAGCAACCATGTGCAGAGCACTGGAGTGGCCAGTTTATACACATCATCCAATCAGCTTTGCAGCAACCCCGCGCTGGAGACAAAGAAACTGGCTTGGCAAGTTTAAGTTGCTCCAGGCCACCCAATGGGGAGGAGCATAGATTAGATTGTTTCCTCAAACCAGGCTCCTGCTCAAGCTTTCCCTTGTCCCACTTCTCTAAGCCTGGGCTCTCCAGCAGGCTTTGCCCAAGCGGGAAGTGGGTACAAAAGTATATGGGCAGAAACACCTCCCAGAGGATATCCTCTGCAGTAATCCCACGCAGGACCTGATTGCAGGGGCAGAAGGGATCCCAAGCCAGGCTCTGCTTCTCTCAGACACAAGCAAGTGAGGAGGCTAATATGGTCAAAGTAAAAGCAGCTCAGGGCAGGCTGACAGCAGACTTGGCAGGTGGTAGTGGGAGTGGGTGATGGTAGGAGTTAGTACTATTATTTTGTGATGGACATCTGTTGTTTTTGCCCACCCAGCATCTAGTCTGTCTTCTGGTAACAGAAATGCTGGCTTTCCTTCAGAGAATCACCCTCCTCTCTGCCCCACAGAGATTGGGATAGGAGTCTGACAGACCTGGCCAATTGGAATCATGGCAATTGGCTCAAGATAATGCAAAGAGGCCTGGACCGCTGCTGGAACTACCAGAGGGAAGGGAGTTAGGGGAGTCACTATGCTGTAAGGACATAGCCTGGAACCACTGACCCCACGTAGGCCTACTCCTGGGAGTCTTCCTAAAGGAGAAGCCACCCCAGGGAGACAGACACAGCCCTTATGCCACCATCTGGGCATCTTCACCCAAGCATGCTGGAAGAGAACACACTCCCAGAACTTACCCGCTACAGGAACCAGTAGGTCCCCTTTGCTGCCTGGACCAATTTACTTTTAAACCAATTCTGATCAACACCAATACTACCATTCATGAATGCTTATCATGGGCTGGGCGCACGTTAAGGACGTTGCACAAAGCATTCCATTTAACTCTCAGAGCAACAGGGTGAGGCAGAGTCTTAGTGTATAGCCACCGAGCCAGGAAGGGACGGAAGAGGGGTTTGGAGTCTGGAGTCTCCTATTCCAAGGCTCATGCTCTGACCTAACAGGTTACACTCCCCAGTTGGGCAGCAAAGATTTCTGCGCTTACAAACACATTTTAAAAGCCCTCTTGCAGGAGCAGACAGTGCCTGGTTCACAGAAAAGGGAATACAAATGAAAAGACGCTTAACCCTACTCAACAGAAATGCAAACAAAACCAACCAAGGTACACCTTGTTGTTCATCAGATTGGCAAAAACAGTTTGCGAATGTACTAGGTTGGCAAGGAGGTAAGGGGAGGGCTATGCCACCTCTGAGATTGGACTCTAAACCAGAACAGTCTCTACACCAAAGGGAATGTGGAACAGCTTCCCACGTCTCCAATGCACAGGCCCTTTCGCCAAAAAGAATTTATCTCACAATTTATCCCCCAGCTATACTCGCAGATGTGCCCTACATAGATTATTCATAGTAGTATTGATTAAAAGAGCAAAAGACTGACACCTACATATCCATCAGGAGAGGCTGGTTAAATAAACATGGAACTATGCAGCCGTAAAGAGTCCCATCAGTTAGTAATAGCACCTTCAGATACATTTTTAAGGGAAAAAGGCAAGGTGCTGTACAATTTGAATGTGTTTAGAGTGCTACCAGTAGTGTTTATTTTTAAGTAATCTCTACACTTAATGTTGGGCTCAAACTCACAGCCCCGAGATCAAAAGTCATACGTATAGCCACATGCTCTACCGACAGAGCCAGCCAGGCGCCCCACAGTATGAGAGGTGGGGTGCCTGGGTCGCTCAGTCGGTTAAGCATCCCACTCTTGATCTCAGCTCAGGTCTCGATCTCAGGGTCATGAGTTCAAGCCCCACGTTGGGGTCCATGCTGCCTGTGGAGACTACTTAAAAAAAATAAAGAGAGACAACATATACACAGTGGATCCTCATTATCTGCAGAGCCTGTATTTTGAATTTGCCTATTTCCTAAAATGTACTTGTAACCCCAAAATCAATGTTTGGGGAGCTTTCATGATCTTTCACAATGAAGTGCAGAGCAGGGAAAAGTTCAAGTTGCCTGAGGTACACACTCCCAGCTGAGGTCAAGGAGGTGATGCTCTACCTTGTTGCTTCCGCTCTCATACCGTAAACGAATGTCCTTTTCACAATCTATTTACTTCCACATCTTTCACATTTTGCTTTTTGTTGGTGATTCACTGTTTAAAATGGCCCCCACCCCAAGGGTCATACTTAAGAAGTGCTGTCTAGTGTTCTGAAGCACGAGGAGGCCGATGTGCCTTATGGAGAAAATATGTGTGTTAGAGAAGCTTTGTGCAGGCCTGAATTATAGCGCTGGTGGCCATGAGTTCAATGTGAATGAATCAACGATACATATTAAATGATGTGTCCCTAAACAGAAACACACAAAAAACAAGATTATGTATTGATTGACAAAAATGTTGTGATCAGAGGCTCAAAGGAACAATGGTCTAGTACTCGCTAATTCAGTGTTTGCAGTGACTTTATAGAACATAATTATCACAAATAATGAGAACCAACTATATACATGTATGTTTACTTGCACATAGGGCTGTGTATTCCTTACACTGTCTCTGGAAAGACAAGAAGAAACCAATAAATGACACTGATGATCTCCGTAAGCAGAACTGGGTCGCCAGGAGAGTGGTAGGAAGAAGACTCTTCACCATATGTCTGTTCATATTTTTTCAATTTTGAAGCAAGTCAATTATTACTTATCCAAAGATAAATATGAAATTAAAGCCCAAAATTTCTGCCTGCCTTCAGTGTCCAGCATCACAGACTGTCCCCACAGTCCCCTGTAGGTAACGCAGGGTGAGAGGAAAAGGGGCCACCCCTGTGAGCCCCACCTCACTTATCTGTCCACACCGTCGGTGCTGTATCACGAAGGTCTGGGCCCTCTCAGCCTTCTCGCTGAGGGGAGGGTTTCAGGGTGGGATGGACTGCAGCGGTACCAAGCTGCCTGTCATGACCCACACCCTGGCCCAAGTCGCCCCACCTGATGGCTCACCTGGGTGCTCTCATCATGGAAGCCCTCCAGGAAGCTCTCCAGCAGCTCATCAGCATTGTCAATTCGCTCGGCGTACTCGCCTACAATCCAAATCATGGCAGCCCGGGCCTCAGGCTCATCCAGGGAGTCCAGGTTCTCACACAGTGTGGCGATCACGCTCTCATACCTAAGAGATGAGCACACGGCCAGCATGTGAGCAATGAAGCAGCCCAGGCAACCCAGAGGAGGCCCAGCAGGGGCAGAGAGAGACAGGAAGCTGCCCCACAAGATCCTGAGAAGGCGGTGAGTAATGGGATTTGAGTTTATCTGTTACATTTAAGTGCTTATTTAGTTTGGAGAGTGGAGGAGGGGTGACTCAGGAGAAGTAAGAAAAAACAATAGGTTTCTTTTGAGAATGCCACCTGTGGCAGAGAAGTCAGGAAGAAGGGAAAGGCTCCTTGTTGCATTTCCTCCCCCCCCGGCCATATGCCTGTCTCCAGCAGAGCCACATCACCCTCACACCGGGAGGGGTGGGCACATACTTGTTGGGGTACTTGCGGAAGATGTCCTTGATGACCACAATGGCTTCCTGGACCACGTAGTTGACCTTGGTTTGGATGAGATCAAGCAGCGTGCTCACACAGCGCTCTGCAGATTGCTGTGGGAAGAGGAATGTGGGCAAGGCCCTTGCACCTACTTCCAACAGAACCTCTGGTGATCATGCCTTGGCCAAGGGCTCCGTCATGTCTTGCCCCCTTCCTTGCCACAGAGGGAAAACAAGAGAACACTCTCCCCAGAAAACAAGTGGGAAAATGAATACAAAATGACAGCCTGAGGACGGCAGGGACCTAGAGAGACAGAATTAGACTGAGAAGACCAGTAGGGCTCCTGAGAGTGGGGCGGGTATCTGAAGTGCTTCCAGGCCAAGCCTCGAGGGCAGTGACTATGCTTCAGCCTGACACTGCCTCACTTCTACTTGTTTCCAAAATGGGCCCCTATGACCAAAAAGAGAAAGTCTCTACCCCACCCCTTATTCCAATATGCTGCACTAATGCCCTTGTGGGAGAGATTGTCAGGATGCCATCATAAGCACCAAGGGGAAAATGCCTCAAGGGGCTGGGCTGGGGTGACCAGCTGTCCGAGGATCTCCCAATCCCCAGTGGACTAACTTAAAGTCAGCTCAGTGGTCAAGGAACGTCACCATAGGCAGAGAACAGGAGAGATGAAATGTCAGGACACAGGGGCTGGACAGCCCTTGGGAGCTTGGAGAAAAGGGCATATGGATAATCGAATCATGATTATTGCTAAAATGTTCAGCAGGCAAAGAACCCTGCTCCAAAACCCCATGAAGTGAAAGCTAAGTCTACCAGGGCCATCACCAGCTGGGGCTGCCCCACCATCTTAGCTAATGCTGCAGGAGAACCCATGGTTACAGATGGGTTTGTTTCATGTGCAACAACTTGAAGGCCTAAAGGTGATCAGAGAGAGAGGAGGAGCCCAAGCAGATCTGCACAATGGGGGCCTTGGGGCCTCCAGTGGTGACCCTCAGGCCTTCCGGGACCAGGAGTAGCTGGCAGGTTCTGCTAGAATCAGACTGGTTTCCTGGTTTCAGCTTCCTTTCCCTTCCTCTCCCCCTACAGAGGACAGTCCCAGAGCCTCACCTCCACCTTAATGGCACAGCGCCCGATGGCTCGCACAGCCTTCCGTACAAAGTCCACATCCACCTCTGTTGCATACTCTTTCAACTCTGCCAGGACCTGTGGCCCAAACAGAGAAGACGGGGTTGGCGGGGCAGGGGGCGTGTGTGTGTGGGGGGGGCGGAATCTGCCAGAGTAACCAACATGCCTGGACAATGGGTATGCACAGACCCCTAGAAGGATGGGATTCTGCCTCCTGCTCGAAAAAGGGCCAAGGGAAGGACACAGCTATCAGGTGCCCCAAGAGGAAAGCAGGGAAGAACTAGTTGCTGGGACCGGACAACCCTTGTTTAGGCTGAGCTAGCTAACACAGCCACTTAACTACTACTTTTCAGTGGATGGATAATAAGTAATAGTAGGGAGAACAAATGCTTTAATCACAAAAATATCAGTTAAGATTTGTTCAGTGCTTGCTTACAGAGCCCTGTGCTAAAGCACTCTTTGTGAGATGAACGGTTACCAGTGAGACCAGGCAGCCCGCTCAGACACCACAGTTTGGTGGTGTTGTTGCTGTCCAACACCAAAGCTCATGCCCCTGGCCACAGCCCTCTGCTGACCTGGGCGATGTTGGCCTGGGAGGCCAGGCGGATCATGATATCCAGCTTCTCCAGCTTCACATAGATGGGGTCATTGTATTTCACAAAGAAGACCTTCATTTCGTGCTTCAGGATCTCAGGCCTGGTGGCAAGACAGGATTGTCCAAAGAGCAACAAGCAAGGCAAAGCTCTGTGAGAAAACCCCTTCCATGTTTACTGGGGCGTTTCTGGGGTCTAAGGTAGATCCTGACATCCGTGAAGGCAGTCTCTGCCACAGCTGCACGTTCCTGGGAGAGGGTCCACTGACTGGCCTGCGCCCAGGTTCTGACTGGCCATTGTATGTCCAACCATATCCCAGGACGGGAAGAGGGAATATGAGCAAGAGAGAGTTCATATTCGAGAGGTAGCAGGCAGCAGGCGATGGGCATGGGAATCAGACCTCCATGCCAATCCCAGCTTGTGACCTCAAGCCTCTGCTTCCTCACTCATGAAATCAGAATGACACCATGTAGGAAGTGTTACCACTGCAGGCCTCAGTCTCCAGTCTTAGAAAGGCCTGGTGTCTGGGAACTCTGTTTTGGGGAGTGTTCCACTGTTCCCTAAATAATAAAGGCGGCTAACTGTGCCTAGACTGTTTGTATAAACCATATGATTTATGCTGAGTATCTGCCTTCCTTCTGGGAGTCTGAGATTTTGGTAGGTGACTATGTGATCAGCCCCCAGTAAAAACCCAGGGTGCTGAGTCTCCAATAGGCATCCCTGGGCAGAAAAATTACACACATGCTGTTGGATCTTGCTGCTGGGAGACGAATGTGCTCTGTGTGACCCCCTTCATGGGAAGGAAGGAACATAAGGAAGCCTGTACATGGATTCCTCCAGACTCCGCCTGTGTATCCTTGCTATGTCCATACTAAATCTAAGCCGTGAAAACAACTATATGCTGACTCCCACGAGTCCTTCTAGTGAGTCTCTGAACGTGGGGGTCGTCCCAGGGACCCTGACAGACGCCTACATCACAGCGCTGTTGTGAGAGTTAGATGGGAAGCATCTAGCATGATCGATGCCTGCCTCAGAGAAGGCACCTGCTACAGGGGAGCTGTCAGTCACCAGTGTTGCTGCTCCTCTCTCAAGTGGTACCACCCACCTCGTTTCTCTTAGATGAGGAAACCTGAATGTGGAGGGACTCGCACCAGGTCACACATCTAGTGCTAATAAGGGTGTAATCGAGAGTCACCACCCTCAACTCCTATTTCTCTGCCCTTTCCAGAACTGAAGAAAGGAAGGGAAAAAAATGAGGACAGCCGGTGAGTAGGGGAGAAGACACAGCAGAGAGAAAGGAGGGACCCTACCCAGGCAGCACTCAGTGCTGCTGTGCAAGCTGCAGGGAGGTCCTGGCAAAGCAAGGAGCCTTTGTCGTGCCTGGTGGGGGAGATAGGGTCCCAAGCTGGGGCAGTGGACATGGTTTCTGCAATCAGGACCTGGCAAAAGCTGCCCGACCACATGGGGACTGGACCAGATGGTGCCTGGGCAACATGGTCAACTTCTTAAGAGATTTGCCATGTTAAATATAGCACAGGGAGCCCTTCATGCTGATAGGGATCTACAGGTCACTACACCTTGCTAAATCCCACACCGAAATGAATCCCTAGTCTCATGGCTTTGTTTAGGCACTCAAAAAGCGTTCCCAAATTTGCCTCCCAAACCTTCACAACTGCTACGATTCCACTGATATCTCTGGGTCCCCAAGAGTGTCCTAAGAACCAGAATCATGCTACAAGGACAGGAAGAAGTGCTGTCTTCCAAGAAAAAATGTCTACAAGAGGCCCTTACTCTGTGCCCAGCAAAGGGGCTGCTGTAATACATGGACGCTCATGAGTTAGTTGCTGAGTGAGCCATTTGACCAAATAGGCTGGGAGGAGAACTCCAGAGACCAGCCCCATTCTGTTTTCTGGAATGTTCCAGAGAACCCCTCCTATTCTGGGCCCCTCAGACCGGTACTGCTGTTTTTCAGCTCTCCCCATCCTGGGTATCAGGTACCTTCTCTTAGGAGCAGTGGCTTCCAGCTGTGGCTGTTCCCATGGGGCCAACAGAAATGGGCTTCTTCCTTTTTTTTTTTTGAAGTAGGCTCTATGCCCAGTGTAGAGCCCAATGCAGGGCTTGAACTCACGACCCTGAGATCAAGACCTGAGCTGAGATCAAGAGTCAGATGCTTAACTGACTGAGCCCCCCAGGCACCGCTGGATATGGGCATCTGATCTGAGTGACTCTCACATACCCCTCCTCAGGCCCAAGGCCAATGCAAAGTCCACAGTACCTCACTACTCTGGGGTCCTCCAAACTCAGAGAATTTGGCTAATGCTATAGACTCTGTCCCCAGCAAAAATACACACACAGAATCTTACACACTGTTTCAGGAGGGTTCTGTGGACTGTGGAGCCATCACGCTGGTCTTGACCTGATCTGCTACCTCATTAGGCTAAGCCAGGGTTTCTCACCCTCAGCACTACTGACAGTTTGAGCTGGATGGTTCTCTGGGGGTGGGGCTGTCCTGCACACTGTAGGATGCTAAGCAGCATCCTTGGCCTCTGCCTATTAGGTGCCAGTGGCAACCCCTGAAGTCTGACAACCAAAAATGTGTCCAGACATTTCCAAATGTTCTCTGGGGGACAAAGCTGCCTGTGGCTAAGACTCCTGGGTTCAGCTACTGAGACTTCCTACACAGCAACAGGTCAGTTTCCCTTTAGTGTCCTGTTCCTAGGAGGAGACATCCCTCCTCCCCGCCGCCCCCAGGCACACACCCTGCACACATGCGGCAGTCTGGGTACCTTTTCTGTACGATGAGGTTGATGTTGCGCAGGGCCACGTACTGCAGCTCAGGCTCGGCTGACAGCAGCGTGACCAGGGGCGGGGCCAGCTTCTTCAGCAGTGTGCCGTAGTAGTCCAGGTCCTTGGACAACATCTCCATGAACTTCATCAACACCTTCACAGCAGACAGCACCACAGCAGAGTTGGCGTGGGAGAGCCTGGGGGTGACCCGCTCACAGATGCTGGGGTCCATTCCAAGGGGGGCAAACAGGAGAGACAGACAAGGGCAACACCCTGGTTTTAGTTATTGAGAGAGTATGTTTCCTGTAGGAGGATCTAGATCCTGCTTCTGATGCTTGTTAACTGACCCCAACAGGTTAAAACCACTCTGAGTCTCAGTTTCCTCGTCTAGAAAACGGAGATGATGGGGACATCTTCCCAGGGTTGCTGAGGGCTTACGTGAGTCAATGCACATAAAGCCCCAAGCATCATGCACGGTAGTTAATAAATACTGGGGAAGTGTCAAGCCCCTCCCTTCCCCCACCCCGTGGCAAGGGCATTCAAAAGGTGCAAGATATCATGTTGGTTACGACCAAAGGTCAGGGGAGACCCAGCCGGGTGACCTGCATGACTTCATCCACCTTCTTAGCCAGTGTTTCCTTACCTGTAAAATGTGGACAATGACGGGGCAGCTTTCACAGAGGTGCTTCAAGGAGCATCTAATGCATAGGAAGCACTCGGCAGAGCCCCAGCCACCCAGAAAGATCCAATGAATGGTGACTCTGGTGCTATCCACCTCCTTTACTCAGCCCAAGGTGACCGGGGTCTCTGTCAACAACCAGATGCTTGGAGTTTTACATGCTTTACGTGCGCTGGCTTCTGTTCTGTCTGTACCATGCTGAGCAGGGAGCTGACTGCCTGGCTCTGGGCTCCCTTGAGATGTGTCTGAGGATGGTCTGTGGGGCAAGGCCCTGGCAAAGGGCCCAGCAGAGGTCTGAGGCCCAGCTCATGGTTGGAGCCCTGAAAGGACCAGGTCCCACTGGGCTGGCAAGCAAAGAGCAGCCTGCTCACCTCTGGGCCTCCCGGTCATCCTTGGGTGTATAGTTGGCCAGGCAGTCCAGGATGAAGATCTGGCCCCACTCGGTGCACTCGTTCAGGGCTGTCAGCAGCTTATTAATGGACTGCGGGTTCAGATCAAGCAGGTTGCTGCTGGGGTGAGACTCAGCGATCTCTGAGAGGGCAGCCACTGCGTTTGCCACCACCTGGTTGAGAGGGTGGAAGGGGCAGAGGCTGGGGGCATTGCTCGGGCCAAGGGACATTGGGGCTAATCATGCTGGCAGGTCAGAGGTTGAATATCCTGAAAGGAACAGGACCCGATGGACAGGGTCGGCAGCATGAAGACCCACTCCAAGCACTCACTCTACTGACTCCCCTGTGAGCCAGAATGAACGTTAAGTGCCCCCACCAGTGAAAAAAAAAGAGGGAAAATAAAAGAAAGATCCAGCTCTAAATGCCTGGCAACAGAAAACATTCCTAGCTACCTAACAAACAGCCCATGCCTACCAGCTACAACAGCTCACTTGGGGAGTGTCAAGTGTGCTTCTTGGAGCTAGAAGATTCTTGCAGAGCTCCTCAGGGCTCCTAGTAACAGATGGGGGCTGGAATCCAGAGGGGTTGCCACGTTAAGCACTGGGCTCTCAAACCATTTCTACCAGAGCAGCTATTTTTATGTGTGTTCTGCAGGGTTTTCACCTTTTCCGTGTAACAGACAGTGCTCCAATGGCCAATCCTGTACTGGCCACTCAGGGTCCATGTGTGATCAGTGTTTCCATAGGACAGAGGGGAAAGGCTGGGCTGAGGGGTCTGTGCATTTCACTTTATTTATTTATTAAGATTTTATTTATTTATTCATGAGAGAGACATGCAGAGGCAGAGGGAGAAGCAGGCTCCCCGCTGAGCAGGGAGCCCGATGCGGGACTCGATCCCAGGACCCTGGGATCATGACCTGAGCCGAAGGC